ATTATTTCAATCTGGAATTCTACCTCTCTATCTGGAGGTAACCTTGGCAACTCTGCAGGAAATACATCGGGAAACTCCTTGACTATGGGAATTTCTTCAATTTTTTTCTCCTTGGTTCTAACATCCAGCACATTAGCAATGAACTCTTGACATCCTTGTAGCAGTAACTTCTTTGTCGTCATCACTGATATTAGATTTGCTAATGGATTCCACCATTCACTAAACACCATGACTTCTACCCTTTCCGGACTTCTCAACATTACTCTTTCCAGTCTACAATCGACATTAGCGTAATAATGATATAATCAATCCATTCCCAGTATCACTTCAAATTCGTCGAAGGGTAATTTCATCAAATTGGCAGGGAATTCAATTTCCCGAATCCGTATGGGACATCCTCGACATGCCAAATTCACACGAGCACTATGTCCTAATGGATTTGTCACTATCACTTCATTATTAGTAGCTTCTAGCGGAATGTTCAGTTTCTCACTAACTTGCTACTAATGTATGAATATGTAGACCCCAGATCAATTAATACTATTATATGTTTATCCAACAGTAAAAAGGTACCTGTTATTATCTCTAGATCACCTGGTCTTCATTGGTTTTGAAATTATACACCCGAGCAGTGGAGCGAACTTCCTGCTGAGTAAAGGATTCAGGTTGAGTTCTACCTTTTCCTCTACCTCGTCCCCTCTGGAACATTGAAGCAGATCTCTATGGTGGAACAGACTCTTCAACCCTCAAATGACAGTCTCTCATGAAATGTCTTGTTTCCCCACATCGGAAACAAGCTCCTGTTTTAATTCTGCATATTCCACTATGGTTTCTTCCACAGATCTGACACTGCCCAACTTGACTCTGTTGTGCTCGCCCATCACCAGTCCCCACAGATTGAGTTCGTCTAGCTCTTGCCTGATTTGATCTTCTAGCAGAGGATGCCACTGATTCGGATCTTGTTTGATATCGAACACCAGAATCTCTACCTCTCTTCGGTAGTGCAGAGCTTGATGAAGCTCCAGTTCTTTTGGATGGTTGAGCTATCTGCTCCCCAAACCGTTCACTCTAGGCTCTTTCAGAGCTTTAGCACGGTTTAGTACTTCTTGGAATGAGGACATATTCAATACAATCAATATTTCTTTTAATCTTGGACGCAAACCCTCAACAAACCACTCACAAGCATCTTTCTCTGTGGGCACCAATTCTGCTACAAAACGACTTAACTTATTAAATTCGCACTCATACTCATATACATTGTGGTTCATTTGTTTCAATTTTAAGAATTCATGCTTCATTTATTTAATGAACTGATCTCCTATATACTTATGCTGAAACTCTTCCAGGAACAGAGACCATGTCATTCGATCACTGGTCATCCTCAAAGTAACATTTGTCCACCAAATTCTCGCTTGCCCACAAAGCAAAGAGACCACTCCATCTAGCTTTTCCACATTATAATAGTGGAGTCCTTCTAACATAATTTTTACATCATTAAGTCAAAGATCCGTAGCAACAGGACCTTCCTCAGCTTCACCTTTAAACTCTGGAGCTCCTAACCCCTTCAACTCCTTTGCAACATTCATTCTCGGAGTTGAAGTAGCAGGAGGATGGAAATGAGTCAATACTGCATCTAATATTCTAAAGAACACATCTTGATCAACTACAGGCACTCAAGAAGGTGTTTGTTCTTCACCTTGCCTGGCCAGGGCAGGTGAATTACTACTTTCAGCGGGCCGATCATCTCCCGCTTGACTTCGAGAACTATCATGTCCAGACATCTATTAAGAATAAACATATCATTATATTAGCAAAATAACATACTCATTACCGTACCAGATAAGAAGTTTTCACTATTTTGTTGGCATTTATACATTATAAAACACTCTAGACTACGGTTTATGTCGAGAATCGACTAAACCTTAGCTCTGATGCCATTAAATGTAACACCCTCAACCCGTACCCGACCCGGATACGAGTCAGAGATGTCACATTGAATTTTTAAAATAATTTTCTTACAAAATAACAAAACATTCGAACTCATATTAAGAAAATATGATAATATATTATTGAATTATGTTCGTTATAACCAGTTTAAGAAAATATACATTTTATGAACAGTAAAATACGAATGAACAGTACCAGATTACAAAATGTTAAATTTTGTTCCGGAACAATCTTACGTTTTATATCTACATAAATATAATTTCCAAGATGGTTATCAGAAGCCTAACCCTTGTAATTTGATACTAACAACTTAGACTAATTTAATGAACCAAACTTCAACTTTTCCTTTAGGGGTATCGATACCCTCCCCATAGGGAATCGGTTCCCCCTGCATAATCTGTAAAAACCCAAAATTTACTGTTCAAACCCGAAAATCATAAACTCTTCACTAAATTTTTCTCATACAAAGTTCATTTCATACCACCAAACTTAACTACAACCATTTTAACTAATTTCTATCATTTCAACACTTTAGAATCTCTCATACTTCGTTCAAATTCTTAAAGCTAAGAATCATACACAAATTTCAACCTGTTCTAAATCCAATTTTAACACTCCATATTCCTTAATTAACCTCTTTACAAGTCAAAAATCTTATTCAAACTTCAAAAACTCATTCATATCAAAATTTCATCTAAAAACCCATTTTTCAAATCCATCTCTAAAACACTTATCTTGTTGTTTTAATGCCATATAAAAGCTTTCCTTTAGCTTATATAACATCCAAACTTCCATTTCCAAACCAAAAAATCAAAGAAACAACCAATGTTCAGATTTTTACCTTAATATGCAGTCCACGTTGAAGAAAAAGAGAACAATATGATCTTCCAACTCTTCTTCCCCTTTTTTTTTCATATATATCCCATCCAAAACCATTAAAAATATTTTTCCTAAAATTTACCATTTTACCCTTATTATAATTCCATATTTACTATCATACTCAACACAAAATTCCTCCATAAATCACTAGATTTATCACTTTATTATAATTCACCAATTGAATTTATAAGTTCTTACAATTTAGTCACTTACCTGGTAATTGGGGTGTTACAACTATGGTTGCCTATATTATTATGCGGGAATGAAAATTTTAACACACATGCATGACCCGTTGAGTGGTTCCTATGAATTGAAACGGTTTATTTTTCTTCGGTAATATGTATTTGAATAAAACAATATTTATAGCAATAAAAACATAAATTATTAAGTTTGATATCAGTTAAAATGAAAAAAAAATTATTATCAATACAATATAAATTTAATGGATCACAAAACCTTAAATTAAACCCAAGGAGATTTAGATTTTAGAGTAAATTACATATTTTACCTAAACTATTAGTTTTGATCCGTTTTAGTACTTAAACTTTTAACTTTTCAAAATCATACCTAACGTTTAGTTTTAATTTCATTTTATTATCCCGCCCTTGAAAATTTAGCCTGTGTAGTATCTAAACAATCAGTTTTGGTCCGTTTTAGTACCTAAATTTTTAATTCTTTTCAAAACTTAACGATAAATTTTAAACGAGGTATTAAAATGAAACAAAACTAAAGTTTTTAACGACGGGTACTCAAATAAAAAAAAACTAAATTTTAGATATAATTTTGAAAAAATTGAAAATTTAAATATTAACAGGACTAAAACTGATAAATTAGATACTAAAAGCGTAATTTAACCTAAATTTTAAGAGTGAATTGGAAAGGTCAACCCCGGAAACTGTGGGCAATAGCTCACGTGATTTAGTACTGCACACCAAATTATCTTCCGGGTATTACGGGTTTTTTTCATCAGTCTATGTTCGAAATATACGGTACAAATTCGTGATACTCGTTTTTTATCATAAGATCGTGAAAAATGAAAAAGGAAAAAAGAAATGAGCTAATGCTCTCATTCATCCCCTTTTCGGTGAATTAACGTTCATGTTACACGAATTAAGTGATGTTAATGGTTAAAGAGATGATTGTTATTTTAAATGTCTCGAGTTTAAGTACGATATTCATCTGCAAGGGTATTTGAGCATTCGTTGTCAAATGTTAAAGAGTCTTTCAAGCATAAACTATCTTAATCAATCTAGACTAATAAAAAATAATACCCATGCTATATAAGATTAATTTTGAATATTTAATTAGACAAAAAATAACTTAGACGTTAAATTACATCTCGAAGTCAAATTCAAGTTTTTATTTTCTGGAGTACTCAACGGTTTGATCGTAAGTGACCTTTTATGTACATTACTCATTTTTATATTCTGAATTGTTAATGTGAAGGTTGAATTTAGTTAGCTCCTTGACTCGGGACTTATGACGGGAGAATGAGGGACTCAATGTCCATCAGGGTTCCGTACGGGATGAATTGGAGGCTGTAATGACTAAAGATCCTTGGCATCAGGTCGATCCGAATTCGTCTCCCAGCTCTCTTTCAATTTCTTTATCATCTTCCTCGTCGAGGATTCCCAACGGAAACTTTAACTCAACGTCGCCGATCAACGTCAGATCTAAGGATTGTGGTCCGATGCCTCTCATGTACAGGGTCATATAATACCACATGTTTCGTAAACTGGGCATGACAAGATGTTGGATGGCTGTTGGGAACATATGGGATTTTCAGCCGCAGCTAGTGGGGTTGGTAGGGACGATGCATAATTTTATGTCATGAATGAATTATAAAGTTTTAGAGAACGAATTTAAATCATCGATAGAAAATAGTTAAATTATATGAAAATTAAAAATTTTCAAGAGATGATCGTCCCTCAGTCCTTTAAAGTTGGCACAGGTGTTTTTTTTAAGGGGTAAGTTTTACAGTGAGGAAACAAACAATTAAGGACACATGAGGTATTCTTCTAATTCTACAAATTATCTCGACACAGATGGTTTCCTTTCTTGGAAATAGTTATTTCTGCTACTGTCTAAAAGATTAACAAAGCAGAATCATGCGAGAGGCTAAAAGTTACCAATTTATTGTAATTCATATACCAAGACATGAGGAAAAATATTAGTCCTACTAAACATAGGATTACCAACTTCCTACTTTGTGGAAACAAATAGTCTATTTTCTCGAATGAGATCTATGAACTACATTACCAAATCTCAAGTTTTGGTTTAAATTTTGGGATCATTGAACCTTAGGGTTGCAATGATAGTATACCAGGGGGAGGTAGACAAATTAGAAAATGAAACACACACACACGCACACGAAAAGGGTTAAACGTAAAGCTCAAAACCTGTTTGAAGGCATGGTTCAGGCCCTTCTCTTCTTCTGCAGCTTCTTCCACTTGAGGAAGATTTGGTAAGACAACCCGGCGAAAACCATGAGTACGCAACTCCATTGCTTCGAGGACAGTGGATTGCCACTCAGCAGAGAAGACACCACGATGCTGACGAATTTGCGCGTTGTGGTGATAGTTGTGTTCGCCAAGGAGCCGAATCGACTTATGGTCAAGAAAATGAAATTCTGGCCAACCGCACCGCAGAGGCAATAGAACAATATATCCTGAGCAGCTTCCGGATGCTGCTTGCAGAACTGGACTGCCTTGAAACCACTAGCTTCTGGCCAACCAAACATGTAGATCATGTTGTATATGGTACCCCATAAGTTCATTCCCAACATTATATCCCAAGCACTTGTCTTTGGATACCTAAGCAAATAAAAAAAAAAGAATGAACCAAAGTTCTCCTTTGGAAAAAAAAACAGTAAGAGCTTTTGCTCCTAAATTTAGTTGGAAAACTTATTCAATTGACCAACAAACTATATCAACAAGAATATTTCTTGGATAGTTATGTCAAAATATTGACAGTAAGAAAGGAAAAGATGATCGAAATAGCAATGAATAATAAGTGTCAAACAAAATAGCAAGCACAAAAGCTGAAGTACAAACATACCTAGTATTTATTGAATCCTGAGTGGCGTTAGTAAAGCCATCAAATGCAAGGTTCAAAAAACAGAGCCCATATCCAAGGGGTGCATTAGGATGTGCCAACTTGCTAATTGTTTTTTTGCTAGTCTGGAATAAGATCAAAGCATACATATGAGCAAAGCATATGACTCGGAACTGAGATTTCATGGGGAGACTAAAGACATTTAGTCATCAGTATGCCTAGCGAAGAAGCAAGAGGTAAACTGGAACTAGAAAAATAGTGACATTGTTATTACAGTCCAACAAATAGCACATTTCTCACCTTGATAAGTGCAAACATAGATACCCCTCCAGCCACAAGGAATGTGCAGATATACTCAGGGAAAGAGTATCGAATACCATAGACTAGAGTACCCATCAGCATGACTGCATGAGGGAAAAATATGTTATTAGATCGTTCAAAACCATAATGATACATGGTTCCTTAACCTAATGCAAATTTAAGAATAAATGACACATTCCTTTTAAACTACCAATTCAAAGTTTAATGCTTTGCATGATACCATTAATTTACTACTCAATGAAGAATCATGAGAAAAAAAATAGTTCGGAGAAAATAATGTATATCTTACCTGGAATCATTTTTGAGGATTTTGCCAGCACCTGCAAGACGAACAGCATCAAATGTCAAATGTTAAAAGTTAAAACCAATCTAGCTGTCCGAGAAATCAACAGCAACCATAATACCAAGGACTAGAGCCTCATCACTAACCAGTAAAAATTTGGATTCAACTATGGTCCTAGCACTAAAATAGCGAGTGTCCATAGTTTAACTTTGTACACGATAAAAACATTTTGCCAACTACGAGAACTAGACTAGCAAAGTCTTATATGATTAACTAAGAATTGGTTTACTCAATGTGGATTAGGATTGCAGATCAATAACTAGACGGGCACAAAAACATGAGAGATAAAACTAGAAAACATCTAAAAGGTATGGAGAATCTAAGACCATGCCTGAGCAGGGTAACTAATGTATTTCAGTGCTTCAATTCCCATGGCTGGACCAATTGTGTTTGTGATTCCAGCGCTCCAATAAGTCCACCATGGTGCACCACCACTGCTGCCACTGGACCAAAGCTTGATCACTGCATATGAGGCACCGGCCAATGGTATAGGAAGAGTAAACTTTATCAAAATACAATAGTATGGTAAAAGGGACGGCGAAACTCACTTATGTATGACCAAACTAAGCAGACCACATTTTGTGCCAAGTTAAGGAACGCAAGATGCTCAAACCTCTCCCCATCAGGGCCAAATCGCTTGGTGGATCTAGAAAGAAAAGAAATAAACAATGTGATTATGAAACAATAAAATAACATACAATATGCTCACACTTCGATATTCGTTCAAATGAAATGTTCAGAATCACAACAAATAGCCAGCAGAAAAAATTGCGAAATGAACCGGTGCCATTAAAAGGAGTAGGTTCAATTACAATAAAGTGGACGGAATCACCGCAAGTTATTCTAATTCAACCTAAAGAATGGTCATTTTACTCGAGTGATTTTAAAACTAACTTCTAAAGTAAAATATTCACTAAGATCCATTTTTCCTTTTCCACCTTTGGATCTAAATCCACTTCCAAATTAACTAAGAAATTCGAATGATCTGTCGCGTATTAAAAAAATGCAAACCTCGGAAATTATCAACAGCAGTTAATAGGAAAAGTCCAGAAGAATCAAATAGAACAAGAGAGAACAATTTGATATAAAAAGAAAAATGAATATAAAATTTTAAAAAAAAACATACAGAGTTTCCTGAAGAACGCCTTGGTAAATATAGGCAGACCAAATCCCGGCCACGCAAAACGCCAACACTAAAGCTCGCCGTAGTCCGACGCCGGTCGCTTCCATTAAGACGCCGTTAAATAACTGTTTCTTCCTTCTTCTTCTTCTTCTTCTGATTTTATCTGATAATCAAGTTAACGAAAAAAAGAATCGATGAAGAAGGAAACAAAGAGAGATCTTGTAACGACCAACCTGTCTATCATAGGGAAGTAGCGCCAAGCTACGTGGTACTCCACGTGTCTTCATTTTATTGGACTGCTGACTTCATGACTCTTCTTTGATTGGTTGTTTATTGAAACGCAACTCGGGCGTTTGCCGCATCTCCATCAACCGTCTCTTCGACTTATAACTTAAGCCCACTAATAGTACCAATAAAAAGCCATTGACTTTTGGTTCATTAATAAAAGGCTTAATGAAAAAAAAGTGCCTAAATTATATTTAGGGTAAACTATAATGGTCACTAAACTTTTAGGGTGCTTACGTTTTGGTCACCTAACTTTTAAATCTTGTAACACAGTCACCAAACTTTTAGTTTATTTTGGTTTCTAATGTTACCTTCTGTTAGTTTTATCGACGTGGCACGTTACTATTATTCTTAGCTTAATAAAATAATCTTTTTAATCCATTTTAGCTTAAAAAAATTTGCTAATCCAAAATTGACTGAAAACCCTAAAAATTAAATTTCCCTTACTCTTATTCTTTTTTTTTATCAACAACTGAAGGTAGCAATAGGGGCACCAGTTGCAATCCCAACATATTTTTTTGGAATGTCAACTACCTTATTCACAACTTGGATGAATAATAATACATGAAAGAGGTTCCTTGGGCGTGTTAGCCATGGGCGCGTATTTAGAAGAAATTACAATTTTTTTTATTTGATATGGCCCCCATCCCCATTGAATCCACGTTCACTTACTGTTATCGTTGATTTGTTAAGAAGGATGAGAGCCATGGAGAGGGGAAGAAGATTTGAATGAGTGACTTGGGTGGTTCTTTTGAGGGTTTTGTTGTACATGCTTTAAATAATCATGAAGTCGGTTAAGTTAATGATCTCACAACAAAACATTCGTAATAAGTTAAGTTATATATTAGTACTATAGTGAAACACAAGCCAAATAAATATGTTATAACCATAAAGTTTCAAACAATGAATTTGCATATCGAAACATTTATAAGGATGTCCTCTTTTTTGAGTAAAGAGATGGATGCAAAGGAGTTGATTATTGAAGGGAAAAAATTAAGCAACATTCCTACTTCCATCAATGGCATATTTGATTCCCTTTTCCACATATCTTGTCATATTTTTCGCTTACACAAGAATCACCCGATTCTCAAATACTTAAACAACAAATTGAGATTTGTGAAACACATGCCATTGAATGAAAATTAAGGTATTGTACAACATCTTTTGAAGCTTTTATTGAATCAAATATTTCTTTTCTTGGAGATGACATTCAATTGTTAACTCCTGTTATGGATAAAATAACACTAAACCTAAATTTTATCATTGACGAGGATATTAAACTAGAGGCGAAATCAGATGTGGTGTGTTGTTTACCTATGTCATTATGTTGATCAAACATACGTCTACAAAGTTTAATTGGTAGGAGAGGATCGAACAAAAACAACAAACTAGTTGTTTGTGATCATAATACATCAATTTGGAACCCCAAGCATTTGGCTTTTCATTTTCTAAAAGTCAAGCCAGATTCTATGCCCATCTATCATTTTTTAGTAAAAGATATTTTTGTTATGATCATCTCGACCTCTCTTGTTGCTTTATATTTTTTTAGTAGAAAGAAGAGTCACAAAATACAATACAAAGCAACAAGAGAGGTCGAGATGAACATTATTAATCAAGTTGACGAGTGAACTCAAATAAGAATATCTTTTACTAGAAAATAACATATAGACACACTATCTAACTTAACTTTTATAACACGAAAAGTTAAGTACTTGGAAGTTCCAAGTTGATGTATTATGATGTCAAACAGCTAGTAATGTTGTCTTTGTCCCATCCTCTCCTATCAATAGAACTTTGTAAACTCTCATTTGATCAATATAATGGCATAGGTAAACAAGGTAGACATAATCCAGCTTATGACATACCACATCTGATTTCACCTTTATCTTAAAGCTTTGCCAATGATAAAATTTGGATTTGGTAGTATTTTATCCATAACATGAGTTGACAACTTAACGTCTTCTCCAAATAAAGAAATATTTGTATTGATAAAAGCTCCAGAAGATGTAGTCAATACCTTATTTCTCCTTCAACAATATGCGTTTCACAAACCTCGATTTGTTGTTTAAGTATTTGGGAATCAGATGATTCTTGTCTGAGTGAAAAATATGGCAAGATCCGTGGAAAAAGGAAACAAATCCGCCATTGATGGGGGTAGAAATGCTGCTTTGTTGCCTTTCAAACAGTCAGCTCCTTTGCATCCGTCTTGTTACCTCTACAAAGATGTGCATTGAAAGTAAAGATACAAAGGATATGAAACTCCACTAGAAAAGCTGGAAGAATGATGCAACTGAAATTTAGTTAGATAGGATGTAGTTTAACTGTGTGGTAGCCCTATATTTATACCGGAATGCAAATCCTTTGCTCCCCACACCATGTTTCTCTTGTGATTTCATGTTTTAATTTTTATATTGAATCAATTATTATTTAAATTAAATATTTAATTATATATGTAATAAGAAATTTCATTATTCACCGATGTCATTCCCACTTTACAATATTATTTATATGTCATAAAATAATTAACTAGGCTATTTAAGTAGGTTTTTGGTACATGTAGTAAGGGTTTTCACAGTCGGTTAACTGTTAAAACGTTTATTAAGTTTTGTTAATCATAATCTAACCATCAAAAAACGGTTAATCACTAACGGTTAACCTTTATTAACGGTTCGATTGTAGAGTAACCTATGGTTAACCTACTACAATTTTTTTCAAACATAACCTAACTTAAAATTTTCATAAAATTTATGATAATGGAAACATATATATTGGTAAAAATCTTATTTATTTATAAATGCATTTTATTTTATAAATATATGTATTATGAGGTATATTCATTTTTTACGGTTTAAAATCTTGTGTATATTTATATTTTGTAATTTAAAATCGTGTATTTATTCCATCTATGTCTGATTTAATGTGATCCTATATAAGATAAACATGGTAACCAAAAAATAGGAGGAGTCATTTTGATTTTATTTTGAATTCTATTCTCTAAAAAAATATAATTAATTAATTATAGTTTATTAACGTTTAACCATCGGTTAACCATTTATTAAAATTCATTAATTGTAAAAGTAACCGTTAGTCGATATTTTTAACGGTTCGGTTAACCGAAACCGTTTAATCTTAATGGTTCGATTAATTAACATATAAAATGTAACGGTTACATCGGTTAATTGTTACGATTAACAGTAACAGATTAATTTAAACACCCCTAACATGTAGGTTAATAGTTACAATTAACGGTAGCGGATTAATTTGAACACCCCTAACATGTAGGGCTCTTATTAATTCAGATTTAGAAACTAGGATAATTTCTCGCAACCATAAGTAAAGTATTTTCTTTTAAAGTAAAATAGTTTTGGTTTTTCTTTAATATGTGTCTCTATCGATCACATGTAACATTGATTATGTCGCATGCATATCCAGGTTCCTGGAATTATTAATCTGTTCTCTATCAGTCACATGCAACATTGATTATGTCACATATATCTCCATATTCATGGAATTAGTAATACAACTTAATTTACTATTCCCAACTCTTACTAAATTTCAGTTGCATCTTTCTCCCAACTTTTTCTTACGGAGTTTCATATCCTTTCGATCTTTGTAGTTCGTAGTTGCTTCGAGATATACTACTGCTCCACCCGAAGAGATATATCAGAGATTCGCCAAGGTTTTCTGGCGTTGGAGTGCTTGAGAATACCGATATTTTGCATATCTCTTCCGGTATAGCAGCAGCATGTCTCCAAGGTATATTAGCTTGTAGAAGTGTTGTTAAAGGTTCCCTCGTCAACTTGATTATGGTCGCCTCGGCCTCTCTTGTTTACCCAGTTTCAAAACAAAGGACCTAAAAAGAAATTGAACCAAAAAATTGGGGCCTTAATTTGTCTAGTTTTAAAAGTGGGACCTATAAAACGATCACACCAAAAAAAAAATTGAAGAACAGTGCCCAAAAGTTAACTTAATAGTTCCACTTGTATTTACACAAATCATCATCAAGAAGTCTCCAAATGCAAGTTTCAAAGTTTGATTTATCGACTTATGGTTTATTTATGCTTTGAGTACTTGATGAAAGTGCTGCCCAATGAGCAGCATTCATTTTCACAACACAAACAACTAACAAAGCCAAAATAGTTTTAAACACATTTTTAGTGTTCAATGTTATTTAGACAGGCCACTGGGACTATTTTTGACGTTCCATAGAAACCAAACCTCGAGCCATCCATCAGCACTATCGCGTACTCTCCTATTGTCTTCACGCTTTGTTCTTACAATGGAGTCCGACATGAAATATTAGTCAGCGGTCCAACTCTGCTCAACGACCTCGCGCACTCTCCTATTATATTCGCGCTTGTTCTCACTAAACATTCGAGCAGCTTCGGAATTTGCAGGGGAGTTTGGATTTGGATCGCAAAGCAATGACTACATACACAAAAATATGAGCGGCTTGAAACAGGTCTATGAGAGAGATGACCATAAGTGGCATACATGTTAAATGCATGAGTACTGCAGTTTTATAACAACCTATCAGGATTAGAACCAAGGATTCTTAATTTAGAGGTATCGACGTGTTCACAAGAAAAGTTACCTCATTTCCCCCCAATTGTTTATCCCGAAGTGCAATCTCTATATGTTCTATGTGTGTATTACATACAACCGGAGGTCAATGCTAAGCAATATCGTAAATGATGCATGCAAAGTATTAACAGTCAATGGTAAGTAATATCATAAATGATGCATGCAAAGTATTAAAGGTCTGGATCCTTCACATGAATGATGAGTACCAGTAGCTGGTTGTCCTTGGAGCTTTGCAAGGGTAACTGATGTTTTCACTTCCACATCTTTCATACGGAAGTTTACAATATTAGGCAGGTTGTTTCAAAGCATATACCATGACAGAGGGAATTGGAATTAATAATATTTTATTCCGTGGCCCTTAGACAGCCACAGATGAAAGTATGAAGAAATTGAATCGTACCTGAATGGATGTCAGTATTGCAGCTACATCATAAATTGGACTCCATTGATTTTGTAGAATGTCCAAACAGATGCTTCCATCAGCATATACTGACAAATTAGCAAGATACAATACGGATCAGATCAAGAAGGGCTAAATCTGTTGATTACCAAAATATACTAGAGCACAGAGAGAAATCTTATATCACAATAACAAATAAATTATAATATAGTTATCAAATGATGAGAACCAGAAACTGAAGTCGAACATGTAAATTAGCCAATTAACATCATCTTCGAAGCTTTGGTTGTGTGGATGGCCAGGTGTTTATGACACAAACAACTAGCAAATGATGGTCTTGTGTTTCCTAAACATTCATTACCTCATGTTTGGAGATTCATAAACAAATATGTAATCCTCCTTGAGCACCCACTTTCATAGTAGGGGTCTACTCATTCAGAAATCACAAGTATCAAGCTCTTTCTGAGTATTAATAAAATTTAAAGGCGTGATGAGTGACATAAGCACAACCGCTATAGTTGCATCCTACGTAGTACATCTAAAATGCAAGAAAGGATAAATTTATCTTGCACAGATGTGTAAAAAGTTGAAGCTTGTAATAAAAAGCTTAAAAAAGCTGCATGGCATGCAACAATAAATGAAAATGTGGATCCAGAAAAAAAGCAGAGGATTTGTCTAGAGGCTTACTATTTGGATGGAACATTTGAGATACAAAACGAACTGTTGGTGGCTTGTTTGGATAATCCTCCATAAACTGAAGAGTCAGCTTAAACGTACCTAAAAGACTCAAAATTTTCAAACAGATATTATTAATTTATAGTTGTTAGCAATTAACCTACATTAAATTGGGAAAAAATATCCAAAGTTATAGCTTATATAATCCTAAAATTCTACTATTCAAACTAAAATCCACATCAGAAATAAGCATGATGATTTTCCATCCAAAATGTAGAGGTCTTATGTCCGTCTTCTGAAGAACATCCTTAACAAAATCATAGGCTCATTGAATTTAAAGATTTCCTAAGCCTCTAATCCATGTAAAGATTGTTCCACTTCTGCTTCACTTATTCACATGAAAAATAAGTCTACAGGGCAATTAAAAATGTCACTCCCCATTGAACAAATCCAACCTTCAGCCTTTTGCATTAAATACCAGCTCAAATAATTCACAGAATCTCTAAGTATATCTTTGGGCCAAAACATAACAAATTCATCATTCATAAAGCCATTCAGAGGAAGCATTTAACCAATTTATATGGGAAACTGATAACATCATTATGGGACAATAGAATTATAGAGGAATTGTCTCCGATTAGATAGATTAACATAGAAATCTTTTAAAGAGACAACCAAACAAGCCCGCCAAAGAACCATAGACAAACTGATACTTCAAACCAAAATATGCACAGGAATACATTACCTCCATCCCATGGGGTGTCATCAGGCCTGCAAATTCATCAAAGTATAGACATTAGGACATGCTATTGAATCTTAATCTAAAAGATAAAGATACTTCATTCTTATTTTATCATATACCCAAATATAACAGCATTCCAGAGCATAATGTTGTTATCTTGAGGAGCGCCACTAATTCCAGCAGGAGGATCTTGTTGCAACCTCTTAAAATCCCTCATCAGTCTCTTCCTTGCAGGAGTCGACATCCTGCAGATTTAAGGGAAGCCAATCCAAAATCAATACAAAGATGCAAAAAGTGAATTATAAAAGCCAACTCAAGCAGAAAGAAAAAGGACTAAAATCAGACTTCTACAAGTAAACCAAGTTTTGAACATCAGTTCTGTAACTTTATATGCAGATTGACATTCAAACCTCAATATTTACTTTGAGCAGCAAGCATATACCCACTAAATCAAAATCTACACAGCAAGAAGCAATTCATTCCAATCCCATAGACTCTAGTTATTTAGTTTACATCCCATGGCTCTAATTAAACATTTACAACTTAGAATCTCAATCGCTAATAGCTGCGAAACATCGATTTTCATACTATTGATATAGAAAAAGAAGGAGAATTGCTTAAAGATGAAGCAATTGAAAGAAAATGACAAAAGACGACAGAAAACACACTTTTTCTTTTAAATTCTGTTCAGGACAATGATTCAGCAAATCACAACCATTAAACATGAAACTAAGATTATAATTCAATAATTTCTAGAATTATTAGAACAAATTAACACCCAGCAAAAAGAGCCGAAAAATCTACCGATTGAAAGTTAAAAAAATAGGTAAAAAAATATTTGATAATTTTTATAATTTATTAAAAAATAATAAAATTATAACGTCTTTTTTACTCGACGTATATTAGAATGTTACACGTGAGATTTTCCCGTAATTTAACCCATGATGTCGGCTGTAAAATTTTAGTCTTATCAACAAAGCATGTGGACACCAGCCGTCAAAAATAAATATGATTTTTTTTATTTAATTTGATTTGAAGAAATTAAATTTTAATTAAATTAGAAAATGAAACTCAAATAATAATTTGATTATTTAAATTTTTAATAATTAGTAGATTAATTTTTAATAAAGTATCTCAATTATGTATTATATATGTATATATATATTATAGAAATAGTTTAAATGTAAATAAAATAGTATCATAATATTATAAATATTTATAATGATATTTAAACAAAAATTTGAACAAATTCACTCGAATCAAATTTATAAACTCGTTTAAATTCGAAAAAATTCAAATAAAATTCGTCAACTTGAATAACTCAATTTTTTTCCTCAACTTAGTTCGATCAAACAATCACCCCTTAACAATAATAAACTAATTGTTCTTAAACCATAAATATATCTGAATATATAAATTAGTATTATAATAATTATCTCTCTATATAAATATATTATTATTTCTATTTGGATGAAAGACTTTTCATAATAAATTCAATTTTATCATTAAAAATCTTGTTTTAGTTTATATTTAGAAGAATAGTTTTATAAAATCGAATGAGATCGAAGTTCATCAAATTTGATTAATTTAAATAGTCATAATTTAAATACATACTAAATTTGTTGACATCATATCTAAAATTTAAATTTTACATGTGAAAATCCTTTTTATTTAAATATTTTTAAAGTTTGTAATATAAATTAAATGATTTGAATGATTAAAGAATTATTATTATCATTTAAAGTCTTGAATTTAAACATTATATATATATGTGTAAATATAAACATTTATTATCAAATAATTTAAAATTTTAAAACAGACGTTATATCAACCAAAATTTATCAAAAAAAAGAGAAAACAAAACTTAGGCAATATTATTCTTATGTCTAGGTATAACTATTAGATCTGAAACGGCGTCGTTTAGTAGTGACAAACAAGGTGGAAAACAAAATAGTCCCCAACATCAGCCAAGCTAAACCGCCGTCATCTTCCTCTCTCCCCCAATTTCTCTCCCTTTTCAACCAAAAAAACAAACCAAACTCTCTTTGGTAATCGAATCTCCGCCATGGCGATGCAAACTGGAGTCGGATTTTCGAAGATTTTGATCCTAGCCGGCGCAGGTACTGTTCGAATTGACTATCTTACTGCGATGCTCGTCTTGGTGGTTGTTAAATTTCAATTTTTACTTTTGTCATTTCTTAATCTTTTTATTTTCAGGTTACACTGGTACGATTCTTTTCAAGAATGGTAAATTATCGGAATTATTAGGTGAATTGCAGGTTCGTTTTAACCGTTTTGCATTTATTTCAATTAGTTAGTTTCTCCTTGCAATCTCATTGAACTATTGATCCTTTTTTTTATCGCTAACGTAGAGCATTTTAACAATTTTCTTTTCTTTTTTTTTTGTAATCCGGTAGTCACTGGTGAAGGGACTGGATAAATCTGGAGACCAATCAGATGATTCAGAGGCCCTTCTGGCTCAGGTATATGATTAAATAGAGCTTAAATTTGAAACCTTTTGGTTGTAATTTTGATTTTTTTTCTTGTTGTATTAATTAATCTGTAGGTGCGTCGCTTATCAATGGAGATGAGGCAATTAGCCTCGGCACGGCAGATAACTGTTCTAAATGGGGATTCCGGCGGTATTTTTAATTTTATTTGATTAATTAGTATTTTTTTAAGCTTTAGAAGTAGAAAAAGTGTGAAGCCGGTTTATATTTACATTATCTAGATAAATGAAGGAGTTTCTAAGTGAATTTGCTTAGTTGTTTGAATTTTTCCTAATTTGGCAGTTAACTTAGCCTCTATGGTAGTCCCAGCTGCTACGTTGGGAGCATTGGGTTATGGTTACATGTGGTGGAAGGTATTCTGATTAGAGATAGATTGGCATTTTTTCCCATGAATTCTTAATATATTTCTTTTCTTTTTTAGTTCTGTATGGAGTTAATTATCTTTTGTCTAATTGCAAGGGCATTTCGTTCTGTGATCTATTTTGGGTAACAAAACGCAATATGGCTTTGGCTGTGGAGAACTTAACAAAACATCTGGATTCTGTGTCAGATGCTCTCTCTGTATGTCTCTTGTTACAGTTTTCTTAGCATTTCGTTTTCATTGAGCATGTTCTGTGAACCAAATGTTTTCCATAATCAATATCATGTTCATCTCCAATATGATCCAACCTAGTTGGTTTTTAAATTCATTGGTTGTAATAAATGGCACACTAAGAAATAAAGATCCTACTTTTCATTAGTTTGCAAATATTATTTGGTCAGGCTGCAAAGAAGCATTTGACCCAACGGATTCAGAATCTGGATGATAAAATGGAAACACAGAAGGAAATCTCAAAGAACATTCAAGAAAGTGTAAGTGACATGTTATCCTTTTCTTTCACCTGATCTTTGTAGGGAGTAAATATCATATGCAACAAGACCTCATTGAATAAGACCCACTTCGCAGCTTGTTTTAAGAAAAGAGTGAATGGAGTATGTCACACATGATTGTTTCAAATGCTTCTTGGTTCTCATTGTGGAGATGAATCTGCAATGATTTCAATAATAATAATAATAACGTGGGTTTGGAACATTTGAACTGGATGTTAGAATATCAACCATATTGTGCGTTTATTTGCTCTTTGCTTTTGGGCTTGTGGTTAATATGCTTAGTTTTGTTTTGGGGGGGGGGGGGTACAGATCAAATTGGATAGATCAAAAGAAATAATAGTTTACTGCTCTAATGTTGTTCATATACATAAACAGGTAGAAGAGGCCCGTATGAATCTTTCCAACATTGAATATGATTTGGATGCACTGCAGAGAATGATTTCTGGTCTGGTGAGAAATCTTTTTTCTCTTCTCTAATAAATTTTGCCGTTATGTTATTGAGAAGCTGTTGTTATATGGCACAACAGTGGTTGTGTCTCTTCTTTTGTTCTTTCATTTGCCTCACATCAAGAGATATTAAACTTACTAGTGAAACATGGTTCTCCAGATAGATAAAGGAGCATTGCTGATTCTTTTCCGTTTCTTTATCTTGTTCCTGGAGGTCATAGCGTATAGATATACATGTACCTTGGTTGTTTTGCTTTTCCACCTTTGCTCACTTTCGGTGGTTGTGTCTCTTCTTTTGTTCTTTTGTACTTCCCCATGTCAAGAGATATTAAACTTACTAATGAAACGTGGTTCTCCAGAAACATAAAGGAGCATTGCTGATTCTTTTCCGTTTCTTTATCTTGTTCCTGGAGGTCATAAGATATATATACACATATATCTGATCTGTTTTGCTTTTCCACCTTTGCTCACTTGCAGGATGGAAAAATAGGTTCATTGGAATATAAGCAGGTAACTATATATTTTTTTACCTTTTCTTCTACTTTGCTCTATGTAATTTGCATGTGTTTCTGGGCGCGAAATTGCATTGTTTGACTGATCCTCATCGCTCTCTTACCCTGTGATCATTGAAGTAAGGACTGGTTGTGGCACTGATGAAAAGAATATGATATTTAGTTTCTTGCACATCTAAGAGTGAATTTTGTTTTTGGCTGTGCAGTTTCTTTATTGATTTTATTCAACAGAATTACACACTTTTCTTCTGTGGCAGGACCTTGCCAATGCTGGTGTTTGGTACCTTTGTAACATGGTTGGTGGCAAAAAAGCAAAGATGCCCAAAGCCTTGCAGGTTGGTACCAGTCTGAAGATGACCTTTTAGTTTGTTTGCACCTTTTGAGTTTGCAGTATGATTATATTTTCATTCCATCACATTTTTATATGATCCCCGTTTCTGCACTAAAATATAACCTAGGTCGGTCCGTCTTGTCAATGTTGTATGACTATAATCTTAGTTTCTGATTTGACATTTTCTTGCAGGAGCAACTTAAACTTTCTGGGAAATCTCGTTCTTTACTCACACATTCAGGAACTCCCACTACAAAGGTATCTTTATGTGTTCATAGATAAAGTTTTAATTTCTTGTGCTCTCTCAGACTACACATTCACATCCTTGTTGTACATAAACCTGTTGTGGTTGAATGGAGTGTGCATTTACCAGGTATCAATATTAGTTTGAATGTGATAGCTTAATCTGTCATAGATCAACTTCACCTCTACTGCCAAAATTTAGATTCGCAAACTATTCCGGGTTATGTAATCACTAGCTGGAATATTAACTGATAACTACCATGTCTAAATTTTGACATGCATATCGTTGTCTATAAAAGTCTTACCTGGTTTGTTTCAGGGCCTGAAAGACTTTGCAGATATCTTTTCCGAGAGTCCAAAAGGTTCAGGCCGAGATGCTATTGTGCAAGATGGTATCGGTAATTTAGAAGAAGAGCCAAGAAGCCTGAAGAGGATCGATTCATAAGCGTCACCCAAGTTTCAACTTTTAACGTAGTGTACTATGTAGAAAACTGTTGTGGATTGCAATTTCATTATTGGTTTTGGGGCAGGCCATTATTTTTGCTTTATTTTCTGGGGTTAATTTCTTAAAATTGTTATGCTAGAGAGCAAAAAGAAAAGTAATATTACGGTACACATATCAATAAAACAAGAATTTCAAGTACAGGAGATTTAGGTACCTAAATGGCAGAATTATTTCACATTGTTTATCTGTAAACCTTACATAACAAGCACTCGATTCAGTTTAGTCTGATTATGTGTTTTTTATTCTCCCAACTTTCGGTAAATTTCTCGTGTTCGATACATATTCGGTCACGGGTATAATCTTATGTTCGTATTAAATATATTCGTATCAGATACGTTCTAAGAATGATTCCAATTTATGATAAAATAAAAGAAAGTTACATTGTTCTTCATAGCA